TATTGCTCAGGAACACACTCATTCATACTAATTTTGGGTTGAAACGCATCATAAACCCTTAAGCCGATGGACTTGTCTTTTATGTATACTAGGAGGAATGCATATTCGATAGTTGCATCCGCTTGCAGTTGAAAATCATGTCTACGTACTCATTGTGATATGAATTTTTGCGAACGTCCTCCTTGCTTCCACAGATACCGGACACTATACTCCTTCACTTCCTTGGAAGACTTCATATTCTTTCGAATGCACACTCAACATTTCTCTCACTCAGGCCACTGGCGGTGCTTGCCCCCACTTTGAAGGGCATGCAAAAACCAAAAAGACCAAGCTTCGATCTGACCGAAGCCGAGATGAGCGCTGTTCAGCGACGCAGCTCGACAGCCCAATTCTACAACAACAGTATCCCATCGGAATCAAGCGCAGTCTCCGTCGATGTATGTGTTCATGCTGCCACCTGTACGTGTGTATATTCCTGCAACCAGTTGTGTGGTGTTGTGTGTTTGTGCTCTGAAACGGCCGGCAGAAGCACTCGTCGGCGCACGTCTTGACTGCGATATGTTGACCCCGCGTTCCGTCGACTGACAACTCATATCACACATCGCTGCATTGCACACAGGTGCTACTTCGAGCCAACGACGAAAAGCCAGCCGACGTGCTTGAGCCGGTAGCACAGAGAGAGCTTACCCATGCCGAGATGGTACAGTTGCCGATGCACTTTTCACTGTGAAACCACGCGTGGCGTTTGTCCCAATGTATCTGTGGGTGAGAATCACAGCCCCAAATCGTATGCAATGGGTCAGTTCTTAAGGCACACATCGAATTCAGATTCGATCGAACCCACGATCTTAATCGAGAAAACACTTCTTTTTGGTACAACTTACAAGTAAAAGGCTCGATTGGGAGGGTCGTTTCCAACTAACACGCTGATACTGACCTGTACGCAACTTAAATCTCAACCGATGGCAGCTGGAAGACCTACACACCTGTGTTCATGCGCTGGTACAGCGACCCTCTGGCGAAGGGGACGCGGCATTTTCTATGGAGAGTATGCTCAAGTATCTCGCGGACGTGTATATGAGCAGCCCGGAACATCCTGACCGGGTGAGTGCGGGCATCTTCACAAGAAGTGCTCGATATTATATATTGTCGCTTTGAGTACGCGCCCAGCTTTGTCTTGTTTCGTAACACTCAACTCCGTCTTGCTGTGTCTGGGAAGAAACGATACACAGCAATATCATATATCAATCCTAGCGTTGCATGTTGGCGTATTGATAGGTGCATATACTTGTCTCACTGTGCGGTTTAACCTGTTGTCACAGATTTCAAGCTCGGAGATTGTCAAAATCCTTGAGGAGGAGCGTGCAATTGCCTTGCGGGCACCTCCGCCCAAAACTAAGTTCACCGTGCGCAGTAAGTGTATGCGATTTATAAATACGAAACACGCTGCTGAGGATTAGTTTAGCGAGTCTACTGTGTTCGAAAAGCGCGAGATATGACTCATCGTATTTTTCTCATGAGCTAGATCTACAGAATCGGTTTTAAGGGTGGTTGTTGTAGAGATGTAGTACAATCAATCATATTGCTTACGACAAACCTACCTCTTCCGTTGCAGTCAAGAGAGCCCTCGGTCTTCTAGCCAAAGACTCTTCAGGTATAGTGGTGCTGCAGGACTTGCTCCTTGCCTATAGAGTTGCAGTATTTACTTCTTGTTTATGATGTTATAAGATTTGTTTCTTGTTCAAATTGGACCCAAAGTTGAATCCGAATTATCTGTGTGCTTTGCATGTATTGTTCTTGCTGTCGCCGCTCTAGCGATATATTGTCTGCCTAGTACAAGGTACAATATACTCAATATCCATGCGCCCCTGATTTATTTCGAACTGTCCCTATGAGTGTACGTAGTCATATTATATCGCGCATGAATGTCTACCAACTCTCACACTCGTACAACATATGCACTCATTCGTAACCTCAAGCATGTAGCTACGTATCATCGTCGATGAATACGTCTCTCATTTATCTGTGAATCCATCACCGAGGTGGTCGCTCAAGCGCGAAGCAAGAGATGTTCCATCTGAAAGGCCCTTTTGTCTACCAAGTATAGGAACACTTTAGGGGGGGGGTCTGAGATCGAGATGCGCACACAGAAACACAAGTGTACTTGTTGCACTCGTATTTATAAACCATCATTTCTACGTTACAGGAACGAGTGATCCATACTGCACCGTCGGTATCATTCCACTCGGCACTAAGAAGCTCACCAAGTACGGGCCTCTGCACTTCCAGAAAACAAAGACTATCTACAAGGACCTGAACCCGGTCTGGGATGAAGATCTCATCTTGTAAGTACTTACAGTGCAATCGTCTCAGTGCCTATTCGTGACACCCTGTAAGCAATAGTATCGGCCGTCCCATTCACGGTACCGTAGTTTCGTTTTTGATACAGAAAATCGGGATGCATGTTATAAATGCAGGGACTTAGCCTGCGGGCACCTGCTGGATCTGCTAATGTTGTGTGGATGCAATTTTCACCAGTCGGTAGTACATGCGTGTGTATTGTGACACCCACATCAACGTATGCGTGTGAAGGTAGGAGGTATTCACTAAATAGGCCAGCTCGTTCCTCATAATTATAACAGTGCAAGTAGTTCTCAAACGGTGTGTCCATCGTCGCCTGTATTCTGCGCGCGCTCGCGCGCGCGAGCTTGCAAGCAGAGTGCCTCCCCCGTTTTTTCAGCACAACAACTGCAGTTACATCTGATGTATACATCACTGCATATTGATGTATTCATCACTGCATATTGATGTATACATCACTGCATATCTTTTAGCGAGGTCGACAATGTCTGGGGTTCCAAGCTTCTGATTGATTGCTTTGATGAAGATGAGGCTCTACTTGGCAGAAGCGCCACAGAGCCTGGCGGCGACGACTTCCTTGGAAGGATTGTGATACCGCTAAGCACGATCGGCATGGAATTCGCACAGACTATCGAGTAAGTATGGGGTTCAAATACCTATAGAACAAGCAAAGGATTCAAATATCTATAGAGTATGTAGGGGATTTGAATACCAGAATGGGATCCAGATATCTAACGAGTAGGTATTGGGATCTATATATCTATGGAGTACGTATGTGACATAAGAGTTTATGCGACATTCTGCACTGTGCATCCTTGTGTAACAATCTTCACATGGTGGCGAATAAGACGCGCGAGCTCCCTTCCAGATACGTTGCACGTATGACATGATACACAATGGACACACATATCGCCCACATGCCTATCATTCTTCACGCGACACTCGCCACGGGCACCCTGTCACCATTGCTCATCCAGCTCTTACATACTGCATTGGACCTTCCGTATACCACCTAGTCTCTACAGACAAATCGGTCGAGTACTCGATACTATACAAAGCGCTCACCCACTGCACCCCTCCATACATACACAGAGTTTCCTCCCGGTCGCGCCGATCGAATGTGACCGGCGCCATTGAACTAGCGGTCACCGCCAGCCCTATCATTGCAGACGATGTGCGTGCCGAGAAAACGGTCAAGAACAGTCACCTCAACGCGCAATTCAGCCAGATCCACGCTGAATGCATCGCGCACGACGGCGCGAAAGCCAGCGCGCAGATGTCAGAGCTTATGCGCTGCCTGGTGATGACTAACTGCCTGAATCCAGTCGTCGCTAACAAATGGTATGGGCCGGACTGGTATTTGTGACACGGTGTCGTAGATTGTGGTTTGGTATAAGGTGGCTTGGTATAGGTTTGGCTGGTATAGTCAGTGATATGTGCTTACTGTAGTTGGTTATGGTATGGAATGGTATGGTATGATATGATATGGTACGGTATGGTATGGTATGGCATAGTGTGGGATGGTATGGGTTGGTATAGTTCGGTACAGAATAATATCTTTTGTTTAGTTGGGGTTGGAATGGGTGGATACCGTTTGGGATGTTTTTGTATGGTTTGGTATGGTATGGATTGGTATAGGTCAATGCAGAATGTAATCTTTGGTTTAGTTGGGGCTGGTATGGTTGGGTGCCGTATGGTTTGCTTTTGTATGGTATGGTACAGTACCATTTGGTATAGTTCAGTACAGAATGTTCTCTTTTGTTTTGTTGGGGCTGGTATGGTTGGGTACCGTATTGTTTTTTTCATATGGTTTGGTGTAGTATAGGTTAGTATAATTCGGTACAATATCTTCTACGTTGGTATGCAGCTAGATGGTGTGGTGAGGTACTACATGATCGCACAAGCGGTAGCTACACTACAGGCGCACGGTATCAGACGTCCTTGTTTCCAGGACATATGGGGGCTGATCTATTTCTCATACTCTGACCCTGTGATCGGGTACAACACGGCTTTCAAATCCCTTCCCTCGCTTGTTCGCTGTGGTGTGCTCATGCCTCGCCTTGATTGTACGCAGCAAGTTTACCAACCAAGTGTCGCAGCTGTGGCGCACTAACACCACCGATGTCGTGACCATGGCAAACACTATCGAAGGAGTGGCGACGGAGGGCGATTTCAAGAACCTTTCAAAAAGTGAAGTAAGACATTGCTACACGTGGCATCTGAGTTGCCTCGTGCTAGTCGCGCCTGTCCCTCTCCCACACTCGGATGTGTGTTCGGACTGTCACGGTCACTTGTTTGCAGTACTTTTGATTCTGGTGTACAAGCCACCCACCGCATCGGTCTGATCTAACTATGCGCATTGTTCAATGATAGTATCCGTAAAGCAAATGTGTGCCTGAGTTTTATGCACGGTAACGTGTTCTGAAATGATTTTCGGTCGTTCGATCGCACTGCAGGCGGAAGAGCTCTATCAAGCGCTGGCGAAGATACACAGCTACTTCTGCTGGATGCTTGTTCGCTTCAATGACAAGTTTCCGTTCTCGGAGAAGGGTGAGTTGGGGCTTTGATGGCAGGTTCTTGCACCTTGTTTGCAGTAGGTATTCTTCATTGACGACTACGTCCGTGTTTCACAAGCACTCACTACCAACGATAAACCTCTCTTTGCTCTGGACTTTCTCAATTGCCATGTCTGAGCAAAATCAGAGAGTCTCACTATAACTATATATTCTTCATATTCTTGGTCGCCATTTAGATTCCGATAACCGACTATTTGACTGGGGTGATGTACTGGGCCTTGCTATGATCGTGCCTGGGTTCACTCAGAAGTTTCCCTCGATCCTGCCGTTGAACGAAGTGGCAGCCTTGTGCATTGAGGTGAGTCATGCTTGCAGTTACTGACATGACAGCAACCATAACAATACGGTATCATACGTCTGATTGTACTCGAGGAATATGTGAGTCATATGCGTCGGTTTAGCCATTATGAGCACCCAATCAACCAACGAAGGATTCATTTACGCAGACACGTGACACCTAAATACGTGGCATCCAACCGGATATAAAGGATAGTATACTGTAGGGCTACTCTCACCTGCTCACCCACATGCCAACCATCACATGTGTTCAGCAAAACGCGGTCAGGTGCGTGAACCTAGCGAAAGAGTCGGCCGCCGAGGCCTGCGAAAACGAGGCGGTTTCACGGCTGGTGTATAGGTTCAACATTCACCTCCGTACTCTCGATGCCGCGCGTGCCAAACCAAGTGCGCCTCTGAGGTGTGTGTTGTGCTAGGCGCTGCATAGTCCTTAACGGTTTGTTTGCGTATGCCATCGCCAAGATTTGTATGTCTTAGTAGAAGACAGATTTGCGGTCATTTATAGCACCAGCGCCACCCTGTAGTTGTGGTGCCCTTCCCCTTTTTTAAGTCATCTCGAGACGCGCTTGTATGTGACCATTCGCGCGTGATCCAACCACGAGAGGATTTCAGCAGCGTATCGTATGTAGCTTACCATACATAGGATTTTCGTAGCGTATCACTCGGGTGTAGATGTGCAGTTGTCTTCGTCTCTGCTGTGCAATCCGATGTAACCTACAGAGCATTCATAGCCCTCTCGCTCTTCTCGCCGCACAGGGAAATGGGGGTGAGGTATCTGACCACACACACGCGGACCTATTTACAAGTGCTTCTCGAAGAACTCGATGATACCATCAATGGAGTTCTGCACGAGCCGGAATACGGCGAGATGAATCCGTACATCTTCCAACTCTACTTTCAATGCAAGCGCTTCGTGACTGAATACGTCTCGAAACTCATACCAGCCAGGTGGTTGCACGGCCCTTGTTTTTATATACCAACACAATTGGGGTGTTATCGGTCGGAGGAGTTCACTATATTTGCGACGAACTGGGTGGAATCGAAACACAAGTATTATTTATAGAGGTTACTCAAATACAACAGCATAGTTTGTAGGCTTTTGGTCTTTCGAGTTTAATCGATCGAGCGATTTCCACGTAGCTGAACCAAATATTCTTTGTGGTTTTCACGGCACAAACTGGTCTCGAACTCTGCGGTCCCATACTTGCCTTCTCTCCCGCAAGACCTGATTTCGAAGCACATTGTTTTAGATTAGCATACAGCCGTATATGTTCATGTAGTGTGCTTTGCGAACTGACATAGTCGCTGGATGGGAACAAGAAGGGAATTCATACTCTGCTATGACACACACGACTGCGTATGCAAGGTTCCCGTTGAGTATGCATCTACAGTCATTGACAAACAATGCCTTTGGATTCACACAGCGAATGGAAACCTCTAAAGAACTATGAGCAGAAGTTCACGCGATTTGTTGTCGAGTGGTTAAACGTTACTCGACGCTTGGCCGCAAACTGGATACACATGGCCATCCAGGTCGACGATACGGTAAGCGCATCTGTCTGCTATCGAATAACTACCAATCGAAAAATCAGAATAGAAAAACTACCAATCGAAAAACTAAAATAGAAATATTACCAATCAAAAAACTAGAATAGAAAATCTACCAATTGGAAAGCTAAAGTAGATATACAACCAATTGAAAACTAGAATAGAAAATTCACCAATCGAAAAGCTAGAATAGATTTTTTTTCAATCCATGGTACTCGAGGGGCGATATTTGCCGCTGGGTGGATCCCTCAGTCGATATTTCGCATCGCAAACCCTGATGTATATTGCACCGGCTCATTCTGTGAATGTGATGTGACGTGTAGCATTTCGGTACACTTCTGAACGGGTAAGGGCTCTGTGTTCTTGGCTGCTCATTTACTGCCTTCTCAACTATCAACAGGCTGTATCGGATGTGCTTTACTCCTCCTCTGTCATTGATGTCTTCGCTTGCTTCTCGCAAGCGCTTGATTTCATTGTTAAACTGGAATGGGAGGACCCGAGCACGAACCTAGCGTTCGTAACCATGTTCTTCGAGGTTAGTTTTAAGTGGTACTTCAGCCCTAAATATTCGTGTGATTTGCGCTTCTGATCTTGTCCTGTTCTCTCATTCTCTTCCCTGATACTCTGGGGTCGTTCGGGTTCTGATTACTTTCTGGTATATTTCATATCCAAACCGAGCGCAGATGGTCTGTGAAGGCTTGACAGTCTATGCCCAGAAAGTGCGGATAAAGTTCGAAGAGCAGGCACATGCGGAAACAGACTTTGTTACCATTGAGGTGAGGATTGGCTCGTGTGTTCAGTGACAAACATTATGCAAGTTAGGCCATAGCCTCTTAAATTCAACAGGCCATGATTCGGCGAATGAAAGTGGGGCGTGGTGTTCATAATTCTGGAACTTAATTCGGGTCCTTTTACTTTCACATTGCAGCACTGCATACACTTAAATAATCTGGACATAGCTGTGGAGAAGATGAGGGCCACGTTTGAGGCGATAGACCAGCAGAGTATGGTGGAGAAAATAAAGAAAAGGTATGCATTGCTGCGTCGTACGGCACAGACTTGTTGAGAAATCAGATTTTGATTTTGTTCTCGTTCTACCAGCACAGTCACAGAAACTAGCTTCGTGTAATGTTTGTCTCTGCGTCGAATATTTTGTGGGGATGATCCTTGCATTCGTTTCGGATCCGTTCAGCTCTGCCCTACTTCACCTTGATATTCAATCGAAAATAAACCCACCACAGTGAGGACTCGCATTTCAAGTCCCCGCTGGTGGTCTTCTTCGAAGAGCAAGCCATTTTTGTGCGAGAACAGCTATACTTCTGTTTGGACTTCTTAGCAAAAAAGGTACGAACCAGCGAGTTCGGATTCCGCACAACTTTCTACTTGTTTATTCACCAGACTATTGGCATGCTTGTATTAGGAGGTTTTGATTTGGTATGGTATGTCTACTCAAGTGTATCGTATTGCATCCATCAGATCGAACCTCTGATTGTGAAGTTCATGCAACGGCTGGTTGGCGTTGAAAAGAAACCAGTGCTCAAAGTCCTGGAGAACTTCTTCGTCGGTGATCTGCTGGAAGACGATGAGGATGCTTCGCTCGAGCTGTTGAAGAAGACCATGGTAGGTAGCAGAAGTCGTGGTGACTTAAGAAGTACGAACACACATCAGTACTGTATTGGGCGCCTCTTGTAAACTGTTGTGGTGTTCAATGACCACTCTAGCCTATGAGAGATAGTGAGATGGTCCTAGTTCAGTAGCCTTATACTAACTACTACCTTAGTCGTACAGTCTAGTTCACCACATGTGACTGCATTCGGGGTGTGTGGTCCTATCAGTGGTTACTAGCTTCACATCGCCTCACATGGATATACAATTTCAATGTCCACCACAGGAGAAGATCGATTCAAAGACTGTCATCACAGAAGATTTAGTGTTCCAAATGATGCTGGATCTAACGGAGTTTCTGGACCTAATTCTCGGAGTATGTGTCATGTGTATTTGGATTTATCCGATTGTTCCAAGAACTATTAATAGTTTACTGCCGATCAACCTCGCAGTTCAATGTCAATTGCCTTGACAGTGCGGCTAAATCAACAGTTTGCTCACCTGCCCCTCACCTTCAGACGCTGAATGAATACCTGATTACCCACGATCTGTTCATCAACATCTTGGAGAGGCTTTGGAGCAACACGGTGAATGCTATGTGGACAGTGATCAAGGTAAGGCTGATCACTCAGACTACACGCACAGTACTGTTATTGCCAAGTATCACTCGTCTCGTACTTAGACATGTACTATTTGCGTTGTTTGTACTTAAAATGCGAACGTCCATACCCAACCTGTGGATTGGCCGTGCCAAGTTCTATAGTACTGCATCTCTCTGCTTGCCACGTTTAAATGCGGCATCAAGTATCGCTAGCGTAACCATTCTACACTGTAAATACATCCCCCAGCCCAAGAGCAATCGATATCCGCTGAACGAGCAGAAGTCGAAGATCCTGGCACATGCACTGAACATTCTCCGCAACTACTTCCACGCCGGTGGCGAGGGTGTCAAGAACGACAAGATCGACATCGAAGAGTTTATAAAGCTGAAGGAAATCTTAGGGTGTGTATATGTATGGGAGTTTGAACCAGGGCACCTAATATGTAGGTGAACATCAGGCCATTCACTTCTGAATACTTTTTTCTACCAGTAAGCATAACTATGTACGGGACCGCCTGTCCAATGACTAGTGAGATCTGATAGCGAGTATTGGTTCACGATTCAGGTTTGTGCCTCTGCCCACCAGCGAGCTCGTAGGCCGGTACTATCGGGACCAAGAAAAAATGCAGGCTAAGGTGAGGACTATTTAAAAAATGCCTAAGATTTTGCAATGGAAATATGTACAGTATCATGGGGTGCCACTCGTGCTGAAGAGTGCTGGCGGTTCACGACAAGCCGTGCCTGTCTTTATTTGGAAGCATGTCTATGCGTCAAAACTCACCATCAAGGCTTATCGCAATGCATACAGGCGAATAATATAGTAGAGAATGACACTGACCTGGCGGAGCTGCCAGAAGAGGATCTCGGTAAATTTGAAGCAGAGATCACGTACGATCCCGAAACAGGTGTGTGGATTTGGGGCCTAAAGCAGGCATACTCATATCACTGGCAAAACAAAATTCTGTCATAATATTTTCGAGTATGTGAATGAGACCCGAGAATGGGAATATGGGCTCATATGCACCCGATTAATACATCATTGTAGGCCTGGTGAAGGTGCTGCTGGTCTGCTGCTATGGACTGCCAGCCATGGACGATACAGGACTATCGGACCCATATGTAATGATGAGTGTGCTGCCTGTGAAAGCCCGGAGTAAAAAGCAGAAATCCGCCGTCAAATACGAAACCCTGAACCCAGTGTTCGATCAGATGATGGAAACGTATGCAATCTGCGTCCACTGCAAATCACCAAGTGTTCCGCCCCATGTTGCACTCTAGACTGGGTGCTTGTGGTGTATCCCATGTAGCGTGAGATTCAGAGATGATTGGGGGTGTTAGGATTTGCTCGTACTACTATTCGATGTTGCATGTTGAGCATCGGACCGGCACAAAAACTTTGTCGTCTGCGTCTAATTGGCTGTGCTCGATAAATCACACACAGGTACGTCGATGCCACTGTGGAAGGCGAGAGTCTGAAATTCGATTTCTATGACTACGACTACATCGGAGGTGATGATTACATGGGCGAGGTGGTCATTCCAATCTCGTATGTCTCTTGGGGGTGCGCGATCGTCTGATTGGTTTGATTCTGACGCCTCTGGATAGGTTAGGCACCTGCGCTAGGGAAGTGAACTATGCATTGTAAGCGCCGGCTGACGATATGCACACAACACCCTACCTAGACCCACGTATAAACTCTTAAACCCTACTTTTATTGTTATTATTCAGATCCCTGCCTAAGAACAAACCGTACCGTAATGTCTGGCAGCTTGCGGCCAGAGCCGTTGGGACGAATAATCTGCAGAGGTACGGCAAGTCCGAGATATCGTTAATACACAGAAGAAACTTCAGATCAGTCGATATCAACTTACACAACGCCACGGGTCTCTTACCAATGGATAGAACAGGTACAGTTGAACTCAAATCACAATGTGAATGGCTGCTTATTCTGGTTGTTGTTTGATGAACTCAAATCACAATGTAAATGACAGGCTATTGCTTGTTCAATCGTATGTGAATGTATCTATGAAGCCTCATAGCGGATGTGCGATATGTGTATGTACTCTCCAAGACAACCCGTTCTCTACTAGCATGTCAAATGGTTCATAGACACTGAAGACTGTACCGCACACTTTGCAAAGGCATTATCTCACTGGATTCACCAGAGATAACCAAACTACAGATATCTCAGTGTGTATAAGCTTGTGGTCCATAAAAGTACTAAAGCTGCTTGACTTGCTTTCAGGATTGACCGATTGTTACGTAACTGCGAGGATACTACCGGACTGTCGCCAGGACAAGGAGCATGGTGCCTACAAGTCCAAGACTGTGATGGAAACTCTCAACCCGGTGTTTGAGGAGCCTTTTACCATGTAAGTGTTCAGCGCAGGTATCCACTGCAGTCTCAAATCTCAGCGATGCTATTTCTATTTCTTGTGCAAACATAAAGTGGAAACAGACGGAACGAGCACTTATGAGAAGTGCTTCAATCCGTTGTGCCCGGCGGGTGTATGAGCTCACTTATCCGTGTCGTCCAACTTTCTACTTGCAGTAAATACAAACGATCCGACGCGCAAATGGAACCGGTCATGCTACAATTGCAATTCTGGGATTACGATCAATTTGAGTCGGACGAATACATCGCTGAAGTACTGATCGATATAAAGTAAGTCACTTCCACATTCTGCATCTCTGTTTGCAAAGGCATGCCATCAGATATCAATTTTATCGCCACCAACCAGACCAGGTCTTACTGTGCTGGTCGTGGCCAGTAGTTGCCCTACACAAGAATAGCAAGGGTTTGTGATATAGGGATTCCGTATCGGCTGACACCCAATCGTTTTCGTTTGCAGGCGCTTATCAGAGGTCCTCCTTCGACAAGAGTTCGGACTGTCCCGCGCCGGAGCTTCAATTTCGTCCAAATACATATACTATATCTTAAACGACCGAGCCCAGAACCTGATGCCCAAGTTCTTTATGGGCAGGAAAGACTACGCAGCGAAAGCCTTTATAGCCGAGGTTGCGCCGAATCTAGGCGATGAATTCGAATCCCTCTAGACTCGTAGAAAAGAAATCTCGATATCAAATAAATACTGGCTGTGCACTGTGCTCAAGCGCGATAGGTAATCGACGACTGTCAATGGACTTGAAGGCTTGATAGCACATACTCCTTCTGTATGCAGTTGTTTGAGGTCTACATATCCTAAATACATGTACAAGCGGAGCAAAACAGGTGCATATCCTAAATACATGTGCAAGCGGAACAAAACAGGTGCATATCCTCAATACATGCACAAGCGGAACAAAACAGGAGCATATCCAAAATACATGTACAAGCGGAACAAAACAGAAGCATATCCTAAATACATGTACAAGCGTGTAACAAAACAGGTGCATATCCTAAATACATGTACAAGCGTAACAAAACAGGTGCATATCCAAAATACTTGTACAAGCGTGTAACAAAACAGGTGCATATCCTAAATACATGTACAAGCGTAACAAAACAGGTGCATATCTTAAATACATGTACAAGCGGAACAAAACAGGTGCATATCCTAGATACATGTACAAGCGTAATAAAACAGGTGCACAGGTACAAACTGCGTCCTTTGTAGGTGCTGAGAAATTCCTTCTAGAAGATCCGTAGACGATCTCTGTGATGCGACATAAAATTTTCGGTGTAAAAGCACAGCACCATCTGCTTACCTGAAGATGTTTATTCCATAAATATTTCTCACCGGTTGTACTAATTCACATAAAATCTCAGCAGGATATGACTAGCTTTCTTTAATTTACCTGAAAGCTTGGATGATTACTGCTGTCGCTGGCGTAAGTATCGATCTTCCCCCCGCCCAGTTTGTGCAGTATGTGGTAAACACTCCACAACTCTTATATATTTGCTATTGTTGCACTGGCTCCTGCGTCGATGTATTGTCACCACCCGCCGCCTCGTCTTCTGAGCCAGACTCGGTCAGCTTATGAATTCCGTCAAAGTATACTATAATTGTGGAGATATTGTCCCCCGACCCCAGGTGTAACGCGTGCTTCACCAAAGCTTTGGCAACATCGTTACTAGATTTACCCTGCTTCATGTGCTCCTTCACAAATTGTATTACACTCTTCCCGTCCATTACATCCCATAGACCATCACAGGCGAGACACAGGAAATTCTCGCTCCCTTGAATTTGGGTAGTGGTGGTGTCACACTCGGATATAACGTATTTCTTCAGTTGCCGATCACCGATCGCACGCGCCACCGATAGAACACCGTTGACTCGCCAAGCGCCGTACCATACTACGACCCCGCCTGGAACAAGGATTGGTATTTTGCACTCATTAGGTAATTACTATAGATCAATATGAGAGACACCCACATACATTACATATAAATTTAGATCAACGAGAGAAAAAAATACAAACACACACACACATATATATATAGACACATACTTACACACACACACACACATATATATATATATATAAACACATACATACACGTACACACACACACTCTCTCTCTCACACACATACATATATACATACACACACAAACACACACATATATATACATATACATACACATATAAATATACATATACATACACATATAAATATACAGACACAGACACAGACACAGTAACAGATATATATATATATATATATATAGATACATACATACATATAGATATATTTATGAATATAATGTAAATAAATTAACATGTGCATGCATTCTCCATATCTTATTTACTTTCAACAGAGTTTTCACACGGGGATGGAAAAGATTGTATCTGTACAAACTTGAGCTAAGTATATGCTACCACTAACTGGGCTGAATACCGCATAATGGCCCCGCATGTAACAGGCTTCACTATACAATATACCGTCAGAGCTTGGTATAAGCTAATAACAGCGGCCATGTCTACTTGCTGAGCTGTCCACCACAGTATTTATAGCTTAGAACAGCGAATGTGACGAATAATATATATATATACATAGATATGAAAACTGAGATACAAGCAAAAAGGATTAGCATGCGTTCGCTGCCCTGCATATCAATTTACTCGCCGGACTAGATTTGAATACATTTTAGTACGGGGCAATTTCAGTATATATATACATAAATATAGAAGTATACATCTATGAGTTACACACACACACACACATATATATATATAAATATATATAAACATATAAATGTACATCATATATATATGTATATATATAAAATATAATATATATACATATACATGTATATATATATATACGTATAGATATAGATATAGATATATAGATACACACACACATATAAATATACATACACACACACACATATATATATATACATACATACAAACATGTAATACATATATACACACACTATATATATATATACATATACGTATACATATATATAGACATATACGTATACGCATACATATACATACATATATATACATACATACATATACATATGTATATATATATATATATATATATTGTATGATACTACACATGCCAACCTCGACAGTAAACGAAGATCCATCCCCGATCACAGGTGTGTTACAAAGAAGTGACAACAATCGAAAGATTCAATGAAGCGACTGATTAGGGTCTCGCCAAGCCAGGCGCTACGTAGAAACACAAATTTATGTGCGGCATCGAATATACAAGACATGCAATATCAATAAAGTCGTGACAATGCATTTACCCTCATTCTGAAAAGTGCCCAATAGAAAAGGTGTACCAGCGTATTCCCCCTCATTCAGGAAAGTACCAAAAACAAGAGGTCCGACATAGCAGGTGAGACTTACCAGCATCCTCAATCCTCTTCTTCTCATCTTCGCGGTCGGGTTTATGTGGCGAGCATATGTTTTGAACTTCACTGCCATTCCTACAGAGCATTGCCTGGGAGTCTCCCAGCCACGCGGTATACATATATTCACCTCGCACAAAGGTCACGATGCACGTGCAGCCACTGAGGTTGTTCTGTATCACACAGCCAAAAAAAAACAAAAAACTGTCACGTCACTATTGTATATCAGAATAAGCTTACTACTTGGGATTTTGCTCTTGTGAACAGCATTTCTACAAGTTTTTGCAGACGCAGCGTGTAACCATTTAAACAGGATGAAGGATATGGATGAAAAGTATACAAGTTTTCTCATGTGCCGCACATAACTATTCGGACATGAGGGTCATATAGATGGAGCGTGACAAGGGATACGAAACAAGCAAACAGAACGGACCTCTTTCTCCGCTACTTTCAGGAAGTTCTCGTCTGTCTTTTTGAATGACTCCTCGAGAGCCTTGATGATATCTGACTCGAAGTCTGGGTGGTTGACCAGATTCACGTGTAAATGATTCCTCGCGTAGTCCGCCGCCTCAGTTCCACCATGCCCGTCGTATATGGCGAAGAACGCTTGTGACGGTTGCTCTTTCTGCCGTATATACACACAAAAATAGCTTGATGAACTCTCTATACGGGCTGCTACACTAATTAGCAATCAACCAATGATTTTAAATAATTCATATTGCATCGAAGACAATATATTAGGTTTTATGACAGGATCAGACGTTCACGGGACATACCTTTAGCGAGAACATTGAATTTAGATCTGATATGCAAACATGCTTGTCCTCCATAGTTTGCCTCTTGCCCTGATCCGAATACACCAAAATATCTCCAAACGCAGACGACACTGGTCTGAGTGAATTTTGTGGAGGCAAATGATTCCCGCATTAATCAGATATTTGTTAAGAAACAATCTGTACGGCTATCTGGTCCAAATGCCAATTTTGTGTCAAATATGAAAAAAAAATGAAGTGTAAGATAAGCAACCCGGAAACCTCATAATACGGAAAGAATCGCTGAAACTTCGCACCGCATGAATATCGCCATGCACTGCACTCCAGCCGTTTTAAGTCATAATTCAATTAACTTACTTCACATTCTCGCTTGGCACATCCAGCACAGCCCTATCCACCGCGTCAACACAGGTGTCAGACAGCATAGCCCCATCGTAAAGAACATCATCTGTGCGCAAAAACACACATAGGGAGTGAGGATAATAAAAGGTCGGATTGTCAATCCTTGACGTTGGCAGATAATAATTGTTTCAGGGTCTGTCGTTTAAAGCACACACTGCCTCAAGCTAGACGCATCAGCCATCCATACAGAGGACGACTTAGAAACAATCCAGGGTAAGAATACAGACTATCTTATGCATCGCTAACGACATACAATAAATAACTATTGATTGGCCGCCCACTGAGTGCACTACCTGTGCAACGATCTCAACACACTCCTGTCGCACCCCATTATTTACAATAAAGCGAGCCACATATGCCAAAACCAACTCACATTCTGTTGTGTCGTCCTCGTCAATCTCACCCAGCTCCATCTGAAAGGCCTCGAAGCCAAGGGTCACCAGCGAATGATATGCCCTGCCCACTACCTTCATCCCCACGGCTGATTGAGGGTGCGGTACGGGTTTCGCAGGCTTCTTCTTCTTCTTATTATCTGTAGCTTCATCGTCAGAGTCAGGATTTGCAGCTCTGATGAATCTACAAGAAGGAGTAGCGTATTAGGAGAGTGTTTTGACCGCAAGTACATATAATACGAAAGGGTATGTAATATTCTGACACAAAAAATATATGATTTATTACTGGTTAGATCACAACTAAGGCATGCGAACTAGGCACGGGTTACAATAGTTCAGTCACGATTAAAAAAATAATGGTGTATATATGCAAGTATGTATCTATCAATATAGGCACACACACACACACACACACACACACACACACACACATATATATA